AGCAAAACCCTCACCAAAAAAAAAAAAAAAGAAAAGATACTGAAAGAACTGGGGCCAGCAGGTGATGTGCCAGTGAAGGGGCTGGATTCCCACATGGCTGACTACAGTTCGAGTCCCAAACCCAGCAGCTTGAAAATCATGCTGCTATGTGGCAGGCAGGCTCAAAATCCCAAGAGGAGAATGGAGGAGAGACTGTGGCATGGCATCCCTCCTGGGTACTTTCTCACTTTCCCTCTCTCTGCCTCTCTCTCTCTCTCTCTCTTTTTTTTTAAAGAGTGATTTATTTATCTGTTTATTTTTTCCTCATGGGTTTTGCAAGAGAGAGAGCGAGAAAGCTGCTAGGGCTGGGACTTGAACTGTGCTCAGCCAAATGGGAATTCCAGCACCTCAGCCACCAAACCAACCACTGGCTTTCTCTGTCTCTCTTCAGTGAACTCACACGTCCTGTGGCAAAAACCTTAAAAAAAAAAAAAATAGAAGAAAGAAAAAAGATGCTGAAAGAACTAAAGGAAGGGGTAGAGAAAGTAAAAAAAAAAAAAAAAAAAAAAAAAAAAAAAAAGGAAAGAAAGAAAGACAATGTAAATGTATAGACAAAATGAAAATGTTGACAGAGAAAAAAGCCTAAAAAGAAACCAAAAAGAAATTCTGGAGTTATAATTGCATAATAACTAAAACAGAAAATTCACTACAAGGATTTAAAGGCAGTTTTGAGTAGACAGAAGAAAGACTCAGCAAATTGAAGATGACACTATTGAAAGTAGTTGGGTGTGGTGGTACACACCTGCTGACCCAGCTATTAGAGAGGGTGAAGCAGGATCGCAAGTTCGAAGGCCGTGTGGGGAATGTAGTGAGAGCCTGTCTCTAAAGGAAAAACTAAAAAAACAGTAAGACTATGGGACAGAATGAAAATAACTGAAGAATCATGAACAGCATCTAAGGGACAAGTGGGACCAACATGTGTATGTGGGAATCCCAGGACGGGAGATATAGACGGAAAGAGGGTATTTGAAGAAATAAGGGCTGGGGACCAGCAGATGGCATAGCAATTAGATCGCTGGACTCCCACATGGCCAACCATGGTTCAAGTCCTGGACCTGGTGGCTTGAAAATCACACCAGGTACATGTGCATGCACGCCCAAGATGGAGAATGGAGAAGGGATTATGGCATGGCCATTCCCTCTGGAGGTGATTTCTCACTTTCCATCTCATTGTTTCTGTTTCTCTCTCTCTCCAGCAACACATGTGCTCTAAGGCAAAAGCCTCTTAAAAAAAAAAAAGAAGAAGAAGAAAAAGATGAAGGGCTCAAAACTTCCAAATTTGATCAAAGATAAATATAAACATCCGTGAAGCTCAATGAACTCCAAGAGACTGATGCCAAGACACAGACTTTTAAAAGACAGAAAGCAGCAAGAGAGAAAAGTAACATCACATATAAGAGACCTTCCATAAAATCATCAGCAGATTTCTTTTTCTTTTTTTTCTTTTTTTTTTTTGAGAGAGATTTTTGCTATAGGGCGTGTGCACTCGCCAGACAGAGACAGAGACAGAAAGTGAGAAATCACCCCCCAGGGGGGATGGCCATGCCACAATCCCTTCTCCTCCTTTCTCCTCTCAGGATCTTGGGCTCTCACACACATGCGCCTGGTGTTAGGTTTAAGCCACTGGATCTGGGACTCAAACTGCGGTCGACTACATGGGGGTCCAGTGACATAGCCATTACACTAACTGCTGGTCCCTATCAGCAGATTTCTAACCTGCAAATTTGGTGGTCAGAAAGCTGAAGGCTGAAAGGAAAAACCTGTTAGCCAAGAATCCTTTATCCAGCAAAATAGCCCTTCAAAAGTAAGAGAGATGAGGGAACCAGCAGTTAGCGTAATGGCTATGTCGCTGGACTCCCACGTAGTCGACCGCGGTTCACGTCCCGGACCCGGTGGCTTAAAACTCACACCG